TCTCTATAAAGTAGATTTACATCTGCCACAACATACTTGTTTTCCACTGATATGGAATTATTTTCCCCAGCAGCCCAGCGCTTTGAAGTTGGCTTGGAAAGACGTGGGCACTTGTCAGTACTGCATCCCCTTGCCTTGCTACCCATCTGATGGATGCAACGCTGAGCCCATTCCAGAGCTCTGTGCTTACACACAACAACCAAGTCAGTTTATTTCAGGACAGCTTGAAAGCAGCATTTGGTTACATCGCAGCTCTGCAAACAGAAAACCATTCCCTACAATACAGAAATGTGCTTTCCCCCTGGATGCAGCTGTGAGGCCAGACTGCATTTCCAGACCACCCACTTAGAGCAGATATCTTACTGACAGACTATTTGTAATACCAACTCTTTGCACTGTGATCACAGAGAAAAATAAATTTTACCAGTAAAAAATATGCACGAGTTCAAGACTTATTAATCATAGCAGAGGTTAAAGGCTCACTCTTCAAAATCTTTATAACAATTTTGGAGACAAATAAAAAGTAGTTTAAGTTTCAGCCGACAAATCCCAGGGGATGGGTTTTCCCTACCTGCCCACACAGACCAGGAGCACAGACAAGCCTCTGCAGCCCAGGCACTAAGATGACAACACCCCACTTCCTGCTGCAAGAGTTCAGCGGAAAAATAAACACCTTTTACCAGAAAAGGGATTTCAGCCAAGAGCACTGCAGTTTTCAGTCTTGTGAAGTTATAGTCATAGGCTCAGAAAAAAAAAGAAATCTGAGAAGTTTAGGTTTGTAGAATTCTTAGTTTGATGTTTAACACAATGTTTTATTATTTCTGTCATTTAGGTCTTTATCATATACAGAGCAGATATTAGATCACTCAAGTCTAAAGTTTCATTACTGGCTTCCTGTCACTGCAGAATTCGAGGCTCTGGCTAATTCTTTTAAAGAGATCTAAACACAGTTACTAGGATTAGAATAATAATAAAATAACCTGGGCCCCACATATTCTGAAAAAGGTATCTTGAAGTGTTTATAAAGAATACATTTTTATATCAAGACAATTGGATTGAGAAAATTATCTTCTCCTAAATCCAGCAAGAATCAAACACATGACCTTAGAAACCTGGGGAGTATGGAGGTCCATCTGTCACCTTTGTGACAAGGAGGAGATACCTTTATTTACTTTTATAACTTAAAGTTTATTTCAGCATAGGATTCTCACCCCTGAATTTCAACAAACTGAGCTCCACCTGACAAGATACCTCCAGCATGCCTTCTCTTTGAAGTAGCAGTAACAGGCTGCCCACCACTGCCCACCTGACTGACAGCTGCACTGGGCAGTGCTTGGCAGCATGTCAGCTCCCAAACGGGATAGCAGAACAGCTGCTGACATCAAACTTGAAAAGCAATCATTTTCTTCCTCATCTTCTCATTTCTCTGCCCCTTCCAAAGAGACCCAAGCCTCTACCAACACACCCTCCTGCAATCTGCAAGAAAACAAACTGATATAATTGCTTTCTTAATTTGGATATATCAGCACCACAGCATTTTCATTCCTGGGGCATAAGCAATGGGAGAGATGTCTCAGACCCCAGCTGTAGGGAATGCACATGCTAAATAGGCACCAGAAAAGACATGAAGAAACAGACACTGAGTTTTCAGCTAATCGTGGCATAAGACAACTCCCAAATGACATCAGGTATCTGGAAGCTGTCTGTAGAGACAAATCGTTTTCAGAATTAGGCAAAAATCAAATAAGAAAAAAAATGAAATAAAACGAACTTTAGAGACAATAGATTGTACATTACTGAGAGAATAAAGTAATTTCACCCCTACAGACTATTCCAAGTCATGTTTTGCAACCACCTATTGAAAAGGCCATCTGGCTACACTGTGGGTTCCAACCCAAAATATTTCACAGCTTTGACATGCACTTCACTGAGCCCCCAAATTCGTACTTGGTCACACTAAAAATCTTTTCAAGACTAACTTTCAGGAAGTTTTGCCACTCATGTAGGAAGACAAAGGGATTTCAGACATTTCTCCAGAAACACAATTGTTCCGGCAATTTTTTGAGAGTGGATCAGATGTTAGTTAGCACAACTCAGCCTGAGGAAATAGCAACTGCAAATCATGGTAACTGATACCATTTCAGAGCCAAGCTTCCTTGGATGCAGAAATGAGCTTTTTTTTTTTCTTGGGGGAATAAAGGGAAAATTAGAAACAGGAAACACAAAAACCCTACAGCTACAGAAACATGCTAAAGTACTGTGAGACTGTGTGCAGGTGTCAAACAGACACCATCTTCCCCCATTTCACTACCTGACATGTCAATCCAAAATTCCCAAGTAAAGCCTAAAGCAATATGCAAGGCTCCTCAGCAACAAGCCCCTAACAGGGAACCAGTGAGAGCAAGAGCTGTCTAAAAAAGTGAAGTCAAACTCAACATTTCTGAAGGCACTGAGAAATGAGAGCTGCACTGCAGTAGAACCCCAGCTTAAACGATAACACTGGATCAAAGCCACTCAAGTCATCTTTAAAATAAACAAATGGAGTCAAACTGTCATTATAACTTAACAAAGGCTGAGAGTTGGAGCAGCTACACCCAACTCACTCCTTGCCACAAGGGTTTCAAAGCAGGAGGTGGCTCTCAATGTCCACAGAGCCATTCACTGCCCCATAGAATGATGCTATTTCAGCTTCTGCTTTCTCCTACTTCTGCTGATCTAAACACAAAGCAGTGGAAGACCTATTGTGCCACTTCAGTGTCAAAAACATTGAACTGAAGAACTAGGAACTCAGTAGATAGTACTTGAAAAGGACTTTTTTAGGGAAGTGTTTAAGGGAAACAAAATACCTAAAGCACCTTTGTGAACATGAGAACTGAAAAACAGAGGAGTATTTTAATCAACATGTTCACAGAGTGAACATTTCTCTAAAATGCCAAAATTTTAAAATGGGAATCATGTCCCTGGCTGGATTTCCTGCACCAAAAGAGCAGTCAAAGCTCAGGCAGTCCATGCATAAAGAAACCTTCAGAAAAGTGAACAGGACTTAAATATTCAGTATTGTCTAAACAAGACACTCCGTCCCAACATGCTATGTACAAATGTATATTTAAATGAGACTAAAATGTGTGGTAAAGCTAAAATAATGAATTAATAGTCTTGAGTGAAGATTTTTCAGAAGATTCTGCTTTTACTCCTCACACATCTTAAACAAACACACCAGCAAAAACTGAAGTCAACTCCTTCAAGCCCACCAAAAGGAAAAAAAAAAAAAAATCTTGAGTTCTTTGAAATCAGGTATTTCCTGCTTTCAAAAAAAAAAACCAAACTTTTGCAAGGGCTTTTAAGTTAGAATATATTTCACAAAGCTTTAAATTTCTCTCTGAGTGGGTTTCTGAACTGTCATTGCTGGTTATTACTAGTAGGCACAGAAATTCCCATTTTAATTAGAAACTTTATTTTTAAATACATTGTACAGTTTACATGTGAAGTGCTTTCAATATTTAATAACATTATGCTGAGCAAAATGGCTGACCAATTTCCTCAAAGCTCTTCCAGTTATGGGCTTTTTTCATTAAAACTAATTTACAGAACTAAGATGCAACTTAGGCATTTGTATTCAGAAGCTAATTGCTATGTTTACCTTAGGGAGAAAGTATATACTTAACTGTTCCAATTAACTGTATGTTTCAATAATGATGTTAAGCATTTGGCATAAGACTGAAAGAATCCCAAGCCCTAATTAAACTTGTAATCAAAGATTTTTAAAAACAACTTCATGAACAAACTACTTTGTTAATAAGGCACAGTCAGACAAGTATTTACAAAGACTGGCTACCAATTCAGTTTTGCCTGCATAGCCTTCTTGCTGGTCTGTCAACAGTAATCTGAAAGTTGTTTTCCCTGTCTGCTGCTGAGACTTTCCAAGAACAAGGCAGAGCAGTAAGGCAACTAAAAGAACAGGCATGCACAGGAGTTTGGCATTTGGGATGGATTTTCAACATCTGCAAAGTAGTTCATTTTATAAATGGAGCATTCACCTGCTATTATTAAAATGGTGGCCAGGTGTGATAAGGTAAATAGAAGTGATGCAAGCATAGGGTATTTTAATAGGAATAAACAAGATGTCTGGTATGCTTTCAGCTAAGACTTGGCATGAAGCAATTCCCACAACTTTCAGAGATAATCTAAATTGAATTCTGAAATTCCCCTCTGCTACTTAGAAAAGCTGAATGTACCAGGAAGTTTCTTGATAGCAGGTGAAATATCAAGGAATTAATCTCCATTTAGATAATGAGCCAATACTGCATCCTACTTTGCATTTCTTATTAGAACAAAAGGAAGTCTTTGGGAATGACAACTGAAATCATTACATCATTATTTTGGCTGCAAGAAAATTCAAGAACTTTTGACATGGGATGTTTAGAAAACATGAAACAATTTTACCCACAGTCTAGGAATAAAAAATAATAATGGGGGGAAAAAAAGAGAAGCCTTTCCTTCCCCTTCCAAATAATCTTTGAGGAATAATTGCTCAAGATTAGCACTGTATGGCTTCTGTGGCCTACAAATACCAGATAGATATTCTAAGAATTAGCATTTTCAAGCTACTGTTTGTTTTCAATTTTTAGTGATTCCAAACAAAAATACGTAGTCTATTTCACTTGAATAATCAAAATGAGCATAAAAATCACTAAAAGTCTATTGCTGATACAAATTTGTATCATATACTAAAAGATACTACTTCATAGATTGATTGTGAAACAAAAAAGATTAGACTATACAAAAAGTTTTCCAAATTCTTTTGCACAGCTGAACTCATAGTGCAGGTTTAAGATAAAAAAAAATCTGAAAATGATGTAATCAACAAATGTTGAATACAAAATACATTCTAAAGTATTTTACAGAATGGCTGAATTATCAAGCATAAGAACTGAGGATAAAGAATGTTAATGACAAGCAGCCACGTACAGAACACAAAGCAATAAGTTTAAATCAGACTATTTTGGTTTGTGTAGCCCTTTATTAGCAACTAAAATAGAAGATATCTGTTGTACATCACGGGTAGTAACTGACTATACTGGAGTTTTATTATATTCTAATACAGAATCATTTATAAATGCGTTGTTTTCCTTTTTTTTCTTTTATTAAAAAGCTTCCACCCCCTTTTCCCCCCCTTTTTCCGTTTACAACTTGCAAAACTATTCTGAAAGCTGAGTATATGTGCACAGGTCTGCAAAGAGTGCAAATTTAGGATATGGTAAATGCTTTACATGTTGTATTTTTAAGGACAGTCTACCACCATGCCTTCATAGCCATTATCTTTTCCAAAGAAAAAAAACTCTCACAAAAAGCTCTGATACCAGTCTTCCTTCCATTGTCCTAAACAAGAAAGCATTCTTAAATGAGTTGAAACTAAGGAAGGACTACACCTACTAGAAAAGAACAGAGTTCTATTAGTTTGAGGTTTCAGTATACCCAAAGACCAGGGACTGTATCTTTGTAAGGGCTAGGCTGGGACCCCGTATACAGAGTGTGTGCAGGTGCCATCCCTGAGCATTCAGCAGTTCAGTGGACCATAAGTGCTCCAGCTGCGTAACTCACTGAGCTGTCTTGCCAGTTTCGACACTGGCTTGACTGAGCGTAATTCAAAAATGAAAAGCTCATGTTCATTCCATTCTTCTGGAGCTCGTTGATAGCCTGAGGAGAGAAAGAGAGCTGCTTAAAAAAGTTATCAGTGAAATTACATTTCCTAGGTCTCAAAGGTCCTTGCACAATGTCTCATAAGCTCACTAGATAAGCACCTCCCAAAAACTAGTGGACCTAGCCCATTTCTGGGCTGTTTCATTCACTGATGCTTCCCCCACTGCACTGTGCACATCCATGCAGTTCTCTAAAGCAACACTGAACCGTTCATGTTATCCCCTTTAGAAACAGTGCTTTCAGTTCCATGGGGAATTTATATAGAAATACAGATGCAACAGAAAAAAAAATCTAACACTATTAACACTTTTCAGATTCTCTCTCTTCCATTAAGAAGAAAGAAGGCACAAGGACAATTTATTAAAAGTGTGACAATTGGCAAAAGTGAATGAACAGAACTTAGCTGTGATTCACTGCAAAACTAATAATTATCTGAGGGCATGAGTTGGGTATATTTGCAGAGTTTTCATAGTACTGAACTTTGCTATATGCATCCCCAACATTGATATTGTTCATACAAACTTTTACAGGCCCCACTTCAAAAGGTTCCTCTCTACATTCTCCATTCAGAACACATTCCCAGTGAATTAAGTTTTCCCTTTTAAAAAAGTTAACATGTTTGCTGTTTCAGATTTGAGTTACAGTAAAAATACAGTGAGAGTCACTCAAGCAGTATGACCAATCTGCAGCACTCGACCAGTGCTGTAAAGCAACTGTGACCAAATTTAGACAACTAAGTTAAGCCAGGTTTATGTTTGCACTGCATCACCAATGCAGATTATGGTAACCAGAAAGTAATCTGAATTCTAATTGCTGTTAATTTATGTGTTAATGGTGTTCTGCACTAGTACTTAGAGAGGCCATCTCTCACCATATTTGCAAAACTCAAAAACATTGCCAGACATCACAAGGCACTCACAATAGCTAGCTAATAGCAATATACAGAAAATAAATACACTGTTCATAAGTACTGATTCAAAAGAGTAAGTACATGCTTCTTCAGGGAGATGGATTTATTTGTTCATTTATTTAGGGCCAAGAGAAAGTGAATTATTGCATTTCACTGAAATTCAAAAAGGATTGTGGTATCTCATCTCCCTTAGGGAACTGAAAGCCCTCAGCCCTTTCAAGAGCTTATATTTGTCTAAATGCAAGACACAAAAATCAAAGACCAAATTGAGAACACTTAAAATTAATTCAAGGCCTGATATCTCAGAATTAAGGAATTCTGCAGCAATATTGTGTTTTACAAATACAAGTATTTTTCCAGAATAATTCTAAAATTAAAAATAATAATTTTACATTCTTCAACAAATCAAAGGTTACTTACATTTAATAGCACTCCAATAGGATGTCTTCCACATATTGTATTATGGTATTTCTTCAAGTAATTGCTAAAAGATACAGGATCTAGCTGCTCTATAATGCTCATACCCTGAAAAAGAATTGATAGCAATAATTACATCACACATTCACAAGCAGGTGTTTATACATCATCTATTTGTTACAACAGAGCAGGAGGCGAAACCCTCTACTTTGTACCAAGGATATCAAGGGAAATCTTAACATGTGAGCTCTAGCTTGTAGTCATCTTGTTTCCATTCCTTGCCAAACTAGAAGTGCAGGAGCTCTTCCAGAGTTGTTAATAATCCACAGATCTGTGAAGTTATCTTTGCAAATACCAGTGAAGTTCATGTTAAAAAACATCATCCTGCAGACTAATTGATCGTCACCAAGAGTGCCCTACTTCTGTAAGATTTGGTACAGCTATAACCAGACATTTACTAAAAGGGCAAAGCAGGAAGAAATTGTGCCTCCATCTGCTCTCCCCGGTAACAAAGTTCAGGGCCAAGCACTTGTCTGGGACTTCTGGGTGTCCAAAAATCCTAGATAAAATCAACACTACACACATGCAATTCACACGCATAACAAGCAAGATAGATCCCAGACACATCAGGCATGCAAGGTAGTTGAATGGCCAGGGAATGGCCTGGCCATTTGCCTAGAGCATAAAAATCAGATCCAGAAGATCTCTAAAGCACCATCAAGTTGGTACACAACAGGAATGTAAGAACCAGATGATGTTACTTCCACTTTACATGAGACAGCCACCCTTTCCTCCATTAAGGGCGAGACCCATGATCCCATGGAGTCATGCTAAGAACACCAGCATGTGTGTGGGAAACAAAACCTTCCACATATACAAACATTTGCATTCTTAAAAGCAAAAAGAATCTTACAACTCCGGATACAGCCTACTCTTACCCCATCCCATAAAGCAAATCAAACATCATGGAAGTAGTTTAAAAACGAGTCTAAATCAATTATTGTCTCTGTTTCATCATAGGTTTGCTCTTTTGCCTGTATTATCTTCTCCTTCCTCTGAAAATTAATTCCCTTCACCAGGGAAATGAGCTCCAGACACTCACTAACTCAATAAAATACAGTTATGCTGCTTCTGTTGGTGAAACAGTAAGTTCTTCCTTAGAGACCAGAAAAAAACATACTCTGCATGGGAATAACTAGAGATTGATACCAGAAAGGAAGATAATTTCTTCTAAGAATTCTCCGTTTGTGCCAGCTCTTTCCCTACTTCTGGGTGATAGATAGATAAGCCACAATGCAGGAAGCAGTCAGTCTGAAGTCTCCACCTCAAGAGTGAAATCTCCAGAACACTCTGCAAGGGTGTTGGCTGATCTGGCAGATATCTGCTAATTATACAGGCTGGATCACAGCTTACAGTGGAGGAGCAGAAGATTCCCAGGAGAGCTGGGAAAATTATAAAACAGCAACGATAATCACTACCTTGAGTAGTTTTTAGAAACAGACATAAGATGAATTCATAAAGAAATACATCTTATGGAAAAACAAAACCAAGCTAAACAGGCCAATTGGTGGTAAGAGCTCAGTTCTTCTGGAGTCATGGAGAGGGTGTTTGGACCCCCCATCAGTAATTACAGCTGTTAATCACTCCAGACCTACACAGTCTAAATAAGTGCCAAAAAATTAATGGTAGCTATTCTTTAACTAGTAGTGATGACATAGATACCATTGCATTTCCAAAGTTTCCAAAGCATATCTTTCAACCATCCATTTACTTGTAGATTATACATGTCAATACACAGTTAAAGAAAGAAGAACTAAACATGACTACATACTCAAGAGAAACTAAAGATGCATAAGGCACTTACTCAGATATTGAACAGTTCATGAGAATATAGTTTATCTGTTTCTAAAACCTTTTCATGACCTTTGAAAAAAATGAAAATGGCTGCTCAATTAAGAGACTCATTTTACAGTCACTGGAACATACTGGGCAGAGGCATTTGAGCATTTGTCTCAAATGAATGGACATGGATTTATGAGAATGCCTAGTAAGCTTATTTCAATGTACAGTTCAGCACTGCAAAACATTTACAGCTATGCAGTTCATCCCAGAAAATGCTAAGAGCTCCATACATCAGAGATTGGAGAAATCTATAGGAAATTGGTATGAACAGATGTCCTATAAGCATTAGGTTGTACAGAATTTTTCAGTCTTCTGGATTTAAAAATCATTGTGGCAGAGGAGCAAAGACTATCAAGCTTGTTTTTCAGTCTAAAATGGTGTTGAGGAACAAAGGAAACATTTTTGCCAGGTTGAGTTTTGTAAAAAGCAGAGGTATGAACCTAAAAACTTTCAATACTCAGAACAACTCAGCCAGGTATAGTTTAGAACAGAGTTAAAACACATAAAACCCATATGATAAAACTGTAAGCACAGTTCCACGGTTTATCACATGGTCATTATGGCATCACACAGAAATTGTATACCTCAGTTACCCAGATACACCTAATGGCATCTACAATATCCTAGCACAGTGCACTTAACATGATTAAAAAGTTACTATTAAGGGATGACATTTTAAAATGTATCTACAAGCCTACAAAAAAAAACTTTAAAAATAATCACCCCACACACATAACCCAAAACAAACAAAAATGCCCTCCAACATAGGCTCATTTTATATATATGCCAATAATGCTTTGACTGGTCATGTTAAAAATTTGTTACCAGTTATTTCAGCTATTTCTTCACACTTAAAGGTCTAAACTAATAGTACTCTAATGGTAGTGGAAACAAACTTGGCCTTAGTACTATCCAGCCCAACTATATTTGCATGTATGAATCACTCAGACTACACAACAAATAACCACCAGGAAAAGTACTGTCTGGGCACAGACAAGAGAACAGGGATCTGGGCATCCAGGCAGAGACTCAATCTTATTTTATGACCAGCCTAAGAAGCCTTCCCAGGCTGGAGCACTGTGGAAGGTCCTGCACACTGCAGCAGCACTGCAGCAGCCACCAGAATTCATTAGATCATTAGAGGCACCTGAGAAGCATCTGTGCTGAGCATTTTTCCTGGCTATTCCTGCACAGCACTCTTCAGTGCCTGCATTTTCCCCCATCAGCATTCAGGGTAACACAATCCTCCCATTGACTCAAGTGAGGCGTAAAGTATCCCATACCAAATATATGCTCATATAAAATGAGCAATGTGGCAGAGAAGATTGAAGTGAGTAGTCTGCATTTTCTGGCTAGTCAATCAAAAACAATTACTCTTCAGCAATGTCTTACAAAATACTTTTTCTACTTCTATGTAAAAACATGGTGTGTTTCAGGTTATGATATATAAACTATTGCACATAAGCTGCTCAGTTGTAACTCTTCATTTGAGGATTCTCCCCTAAGTTTCCCTTCTAAGCACAAGGCTATTCCCTCCTTTTGCCATTATATCACAGTGTGCTGTGGTGGCAGTGGTCAGATCAACAATTACCATGGAGAAACTGATGTCTGCCCAGCAATATTTAGTATTCTCTATTTGTTTTATGCTGGGGACTAATGGCTCTAAACTTCAAGGCCCAAAGTGTTCATCAGTTTTTATGCACTAGGTGAGAAAATGCATCTATATGTAAGGTCCAGTCCAATTAAGGAAAAGGCCATCACGCTCCCACAAAGGCATTTCTAAGGATAATTGATTTCATCTTGCCCCAGAATACCTTCCTGCTTACAAAGTGCTCAGTTGACTGCTTCCCAAGTTAGGGCCAATAGAATTAAGCCAGTTTTAGTACAGTTTTGTCTCTATCTTAATGCTGTTTTGTCTGTGTAGAGGCCTACAGGTTACAACAGTACAAGTTTGTTTAGAACGTCAAATTGCATGAAAAAAATCCAATACTTATCTAAGGAAGCAAGAAGTAGCCAAGTGGCACATAAAATTGAACAAACTTCCAAAAACTGGAAAAATGTGACAGGGAGATATTTGTGATATAGCTAACAAGATATCTCTGAAAATCCTCCAAAGCAAAACCTCCTCCATACAGCGTCTGAATATGGAGTCATGTGTTCAGATATGGCATGATATAAACAAGCAAAAAATAACCACAGTATGCTGCTATACAGCTTATTTAGTTTCCTAGTTAAACTAAAGATTGAAAAAGCATTTTCATAGTTATTAAACAGTAGACATGATTTTCCATGTTACAAAAAGTGTCACTTCTATTTAGCTTAACAACTACCAAAAGTAAGAGCTGGTGCAGCAATATATTCCCTAAAAGTAATTAAATGCCAAAGTCCAGATTTTCTTCAAGCTTTCACCACAGAATTTAACAAGGGGAAACTAATGTTTGCTAATGCACTATAATCTGTTCTCCTGCAAAAACACTCAAGGCTGCTGATTCTGGGATTCTGTAGAAAAACACTTTTCTTGATAGATAAACCTCTCAACTGGCTACAAGAATTATTAAAAATGGGATAAACAGAATGAAGGCAAGTTATTTACTGTTTTTATCTCTATTCCAGCAATTAATAGTAGAAAAAAGAGGTTAATATGTATACACAAAGCAAGAAAGCCTAGAGATCTCTCCAGCAGATGGGATTTATTCCTTCAAGACATGGAAAAAATTAACACACCATGAATAGGAACAGCTCTCTCTTCTAACAGATTCTACAGAAGTTACATAAATTATGCAAACAGTTGTAAAACAAATTTTAATGTTATGTATTTCCAGAAGAGTTACTTCTATTCTGTGCTTTTAGTGTTCAACATTAAGTTGTTGGGGGTTTTTATTTTAAAAATAACTCCTTAGTTCCTGTGACTGCAAAAAAAATGTAACATAATTGGCATTGGACCTATATGTATTTAGCATTCCTTTCAGTCTTTGGCCAAACCCAAACTGAAGTATGGTCTACTGCTTTTCCCCCACTGCCTACTACAGAGTAAGGAGTAGGGGGAAGGCTACTCCCAAGGAAACACTGGCTTTCATTTTCCTGACCAGTGCAATACCCTACAGCCTTTCCTCCTCCAAATGGGTGTTGCTGAAACCTTTGCATGATCACAATGCTGTTTCTATATGCAGGTATCACAGCTACCAAGCTGGAACTACTACAATTCTCCATACATAATTTTTTTTGATTTTCAAAAACATAAGAGGGTATGTGGACAGAAGTCATGTTACATCAGGGCATTTTAGGTAGGTGAACATGCATTTATTCTCATTAATTATGCTTACTAGCTTATACTCGCAATATAATTTTATGCAGTCAGTAAAAGGGAGAATACTAGCTAAAGGCAGCAGCTAAATTCTTATTGTGGTAAACAAAGGAAAATTATACATTCAATAAAATAGCTGATCTATAATATCTTGTTAGAGAAACTTCTCAAGTGCTCAAAGAAATGGAATGTACAGGAGAAATTTGTTAGTTAGTTCCACCAAATCTGAAAACTTACCATTTTATCTAGGTGCTCAATGGATCTATAAATTTCTCCTTGGGATTCATCATAGTAACTGTAACGGAACCTCTGACCTTGAAACAAAAATCATGTATAAAATAAAAAAGGGAAAAATTGTAGCTAAACCACTCCCTAATACTTACTAAATATTTGAAAGTATAATACTTATAAAGTAGTAATCTTCATTTATTTTATACTTTTTAGGTCCATTGAGGAAATTCTAGGGCAACCATGAAGTAGCAGCCCAGAAGTAAAGTAAAAAAATACATGATGATGGGTGGCTAAATTCCTAAAGAGAAATCTATATAGAACTGACAAAGTATCACTCACTAGTTGCCTCTTATTGCCTTAGCATCTAATTCTGTAAATTAAGAAGTAAAGCAACATTTCATTTCCCTATCCCCCTTGACAAAGTCAGCCATGGAGTCAGGCTATTTCTGCCTGCACAATACCCACAGCAAATGAAGGTTAAAAGAAAAAATTCATGATAATTCAATGAGCAGTTCTAAATGGGTCATTAGCCACAACAGGACCAAGTCATTCTTATATACACTTCCACCTACTCCACAATTCAAAGATGAGTGAAACATGCACTTAATTAAGTTGACCAAAGATGACAATGGAAAAAAAAGGAAGGTCTGTTGTGTCACATATCTTTCTGAAGCAGTCTCTTTTCCAGCTACTATCACACTTAAAAGAAAAATAAAATTATAAAGCAGGACAGAAGTCAAGGCTTCTGGAGTCTTTATATCTCTGCCACCAAGATGAACTGGGGTAGCACTGGTGAATTGGCATAAATAATCCATCTGCTAGCTTATACAACAGTAAAACATACAGAACTTATTTCTGCCAGAGCAATGTGACTGTGCCCAGTGAATTTTTAGCTAATTAGTTTTGAAAGTTGTTTTGAGGTGCTTCAAAGAAGAGTAAAAAGAGCACGCAACTTCAATTATTTCATTGCAACAGTAAAGTGATGTATATAAATCCACACACCTCCACCATTTATTTCCTCCACTACACTGAAAACACATTACCACATGAATATTTTTTACCTATTATTACAGATTTTAAGGACTTTTTAACTTCATGAAGGCATTTAAGTTGCAAAAATAAATTTACCAGAAGTTAAAATGTTCAATGTTTAATAAAATACATTATTTGAAAATAGCTACAAAATATTCAATATACTCTTATAATGAGATATGAAACTTACCCCAATGGCAAAAGTCAGAAGAAACCACAAAGAGATTACTAGGATCAGCTAGGTATTTACTGAAGAGTTTTCCAAATTCCTGCTCTTTTGACTCACTCAGTGCTCCGACCAACACAGGAATAATAGTAAACTCATCCTTATGGCTTATAAGCAAAAGAAAAAAGGTTGTAATTCAAGTAACATGTGAAGATTTTTCAGGGCTTGCTAACTGAAACTGCAGCATGTTTTAAAAGGTTGCTATTGATTTGAGGATAGTAATTTGGCAAGGTTATACTAGGATGTTGTTTTAGAACCTCAAAATACTTCAATTTTAGAAAACATACACCCCCAAAAACCAATATTTCTCTCAGCTGTAAAGTAAAAAATACCAAGCAAACAAAAAGAAAAGACATAGTGAAATCGGCAATGAAATAAGAATTAAGTTTTCCCTGTATAGATGCTGCATGTTTGGTAATTCACCAAAGTATATGAAACGTATATGAAAATGCTCAAGACAGTACTCAGGTATATACTAGAACTGTAGGAAAAAAAAAAAAAAAAAAAAAAAAAAAAAAAAAAAAAAAAAAAAAAAAAAAAAAAAGCACATGTTAGGGAAGAAACCCCAACACAGATTGACAATTTTTACTTAAACACCTGAAATAGCAGCTACAAACACACCCCTGATTTCAAAAATCAGTATTAAGGCTCCAAACAAACTTAAAATCCCCCACAAAGCTATTTGAACTTCTTTCAGAGATGCCTTGAAAAGTGGGGGAAAAAAATCAGCTATTGAAAAAAGTTCAGGAAAGCATATCTAATATTTACTCTGTTAAGTCAACCTGTTTATAAGAGGTGCTATAACTTCATCATTTAGGTGTTTGCTCTGCTCACAATTGCAATTACAGCAGCTTATCCTAGTCTTTGACCCTCTCGTTATCAATATTTTTATTGGGGGTTAGGGGAATACAAGCATTATATACACCATAAGGTCATCTATGCCATTAAATGTATTATTATTTCCTACTGCACTTTACAGCAGCTCAAACATTCAATGCACATTCTTGCAGAAGTAATTAGCCCTAGTACCTTTCCATGGCTTTAGCAGTATAAGGCAAATGCATTTCAATACTGTGTTCATCTTCATCTGTCTGTAGGGACATGCGCTCAAACATTCCAGTCTTCCACAATTCTCCATAAACTGAAATGAAATTAAGATCAGTTTTTACCACTTTTTTGGCTTATTTTTGAAAACTACTTCAAGTGCAAAAAGCAAGCTACCTTTATCAGAAAATATCTACTATAAAAAATTACCTGCCTCCAAGGGCTATCATCATAAGCCATTTGTTTCTAAACAAATTCAGAACTAAAATTGTGCTCAAGTCATTAAAATATAAACATTATTGATTCAGTTTAGAAAATGTGTTAAATCAGTGACCTTATTAATATAGTGAAAAAGACTCAGTTAGGATACAAAATTTAATTACACAAATAAAACACATTTGAAAATACACATGCATTTGTCCAGTCAGTGAATTTTAATTTTCATAAACTGCCCATTATGTGTTTAAAAAAACCAACAATTCATCAGATGAGCTATTGCTCGATTTGTTACTATGTAACTGAATTTATTATTGACTGAATCGTGGAATCTAGAAACAGCCACAACTGATTAAGTAATCTACATCTGTAAACTATCTTTCCTACTCTCAAGCATACTTGAGAGTATACAGACTTATCTCCACATTTTGATAATTCTCCACTGGATGAAGGATTTGATGTAGGGCTGTGCTTCCTTCTCAACTCCATAAAGGAGTTGTACAGAAAGCAAAACATTTCTTACCCAAGGAAATTTCTGCAGGCACTATATAGAAAGCCTGAATTAGCTTGCTTAATCAGTTACAATGAAACACAATATATGTGATAATTAGCCTTTCTGATAAAGATACTGTATCACTTAGGTATACCTCAAAACACATAAAAGCCAAAATATCAAATTTATCTTCATTGCACTTAGTTCAAAAGGCTGACATTTCACCAACTAACAGTTTCTAGTTTGCAAGTTAGAGAGTCACATGCAATCCAAATAAAAGCAATTTTTGGTTTCTCTGTTATTCCTTGATCAGAAATCAAACTCAAATTTACTTTCCAGCCAGAACACTTCACATGAGAATGGAGATGATGTTTAGTGAGTTATTATTTGATGTAACACTCTTTTTAGTTTTAAAACCCTGAAGCACACACTCAAAATTGAAAAGATAAGCAAAAATGTAGAATTCTTGCCAGAAGGAAGAGAGACACTACTGTTATAGTGTGACCATGTCTAAAACAACCAGGATCACTCAGAAGTTAGTTTTGTTGCACTGGAACCAGATTTGCACTTGAATGCCACTTACAGCAAGGAAGTGCCCAACAAGAAGAACGTCCTCAGCACTGTAGTACCACAGTCAATACTCAAGCCTCAGTGAAGTCCAAGCTTTATAATGCACTTACTCTTTTGGTCAATTCGAAGATCATACAGAGGTGTTCTGTAAATGTCCACACTGGAAAGTGCACACCGGGAGAGGGGCACGTGATGGGAAGGCCCAAGAATGAAAATTTTTCGGCTACAATAATTAACACAGAAAGCCACAATTTAGACAACTGCAATTGTACAGCAACCCAGCGTGGAATAACAAGTTTAACAAAAGCATACAAAGTAATACTTTCTCATGGCTACAATAGTTTTACTCTGTTGTCAGTAAGACCCCACATCAATCCATGGCCCAACCTTGTTTGGTATCTCAGGAATTATCATGAGATCCATTCAATAATGCTCTAGCCTTAAATCGCTTAAGCAGGTTATATATCAGAGAGCACTCATCAGTTAGAAATTTTTCTGACTTCACTCATTTGGAGGCTGAACGATGCATTACAGCCACTTAGATTTTTTAATTCTCTCCTTGACTCAACACAGCTACTCACCACCTTCAATATATACACGATCAAACAACAATTATCACTTTATCATCTACTCAGAGTTTTTCACTTATTTACTTGATTAGTCTTACTTAGGTTTCACTAAATTAAATTTTAAGTCCTTCTCAAATGCTAGGTTTATGTTGTTATATGGGTTTCTTTTGCTGTTGCATCAACAGAGACTGGGACCTGCACATTCACGGCTTTAGCTCATACTGCAGCCTTTAAACGTCATCATGACATCTTTATTTCATCAAGTCCTCAGTTCCTGGCCCTTGATTAGATGTTAAGGGTCTCCTGCCACAAGACTAACATGAAAAAAGAAAAAAACATAGGCAATTCAGCTTTTCAGATTCAGGATTATATCATCTTGTTTCTGGCACTGAATTAAAGGGGTGGGAGACATATATAGCTCTGAGGGGTTTTTTAATCCCTTACACAAGGAGTGCTATAACGAGGTATACTAAAACACAAACTTCCTGCAAAGCTAATAAAAACAAATATCCAAATATGCAATAGTTTAGCTCAAAGATGAAGTCTAAACATCCCATGCAGTAAAAAGCAAATGATCCAGCAAGTTCACTCAATGCCTTATCAGTGAACCTAGGGAAGCAAGCTTGTTCCAGAAATTTTAGAGAAACTACCTATCTACCATACCATTTTCACATCATTTGTAATAGTTTAGAAAGAACTAAAACCATTGCCTTTGAAGAGTATTACAGTCTGTTATCTTATAAACAACTAGTAAGCCTAGCCAGTTTTTATTTAGCATTGCAAAATATATACTTTGAGTAAATACCAGAGATCTTCTTTTATATTTTTGTAATTTAAAAAAAAGTTGCAGTCAGCAGAATGTAACAAGAATTACATTCCTTTGCCCAAAAATAACTGGATTCATATTTTCAGAGGCAGGCACAGGCTACACATGTTGGGGTTTTTTTAAATTTTTCTTTTCTTATAATTTGGAGAAACAAAAGTCCACTTAAACTGATTGGGACAATTAATTTTCACTGACTTCACATATTATATAAACACACTGGTCACTGCTGTCACAGCAGAAGAGAATCCTAGCAGTATTCAACCCATAAACCTGCACTAAAAAGCCGATGTAGAATCATGGTGAAGTACTTTAATAGACTTAATAAAACAAACAAAACCTCCCAACAATAACAAAAACAAACATCTAAAAAACAAACAAAACCAACTTGGGCTTCTATTAAACCAGTGGCATCAGTAAAACTCCAGCCATCTTTAATCTCTCCCTTGTAAAAAAGTTAGTTACCCATTATTTTAGCAATAATCCTTTTTCTTCCCCTTTTCTAACATCCTATTTGAACATTTATGACGTTAAAACAGAAGTGATGCATAGAAGGCTAAAGAGAACACAAAGTTAAAATGTGAGTACTTCAAGATGTAAGAATGTAACAAGAACATTCCACTTATCAGAGAATTGCAATCTCAGGGTCTTAGGCTTTATAAAGAAAGCTGCAATACTCACGTGATATTGGGGTCCACTTGTTTGTAAGCATGGGCTGCACAAGATCCACAATAGGTATATCCTGCATGGCTGCAAACCAAAGTGCACAAAACAATGAGATTTAAATATTGCTTAACATCTTAAATATGTTGATATTCAGTGTAAATCTCTCAGGATTTATTTTTTGTCCCCAGTGAACTAGAAATTTTAAGAGTGATCCAAAACTCCTGAAAGAGCAGGAAAGCACTGCTGCAGTATTGATTACATAAGACATATTTGGTGAAGAACTGGAAATGACCATTTACTGACCAGTTAAAAACTATCAGTGACCACTGAATTGTCAGGAAACCCCCAGATGAGAGGATCTTCTCTTATCTGTAAAGGATGTATGCAGACTGCACAACTGCTGTTATCAGAAGCTCATGATAATGCTAACAGTGTAGCCAGGGAACAAGGGAGTGGCAAACTCCTGGAGAAAGCTCTTCTAACCACAATCCATAACTGAATATAATGGCACTAGAGAAGTCTTGGCAGAGAGAGAACTACATGTCACAGCAGATAAAGAGAATAAAAATGCTCTGTCATTGAAGAATAACTTAGTGACAGAATGAACACATGGAAAGGAGTGCAAGGCAGCATGCTAGCTTTTACTGCAGGTGATGAGCTACATGCTTCACCATTTCCTATCAGTCTGGCCTGGTCCTTTCTCAACCTCTTGTTTTTGTGTGTGCTCCAAAACAATTGATAAATATTTTTACTAGTTGTTTCAAATATTGCCTTCAAATCTGAAGGCCCTTTCTCTTCAAGACCATTAAAACAGGTGAAAATTCACTTTACACTGCTAAAAGCATTAGTTTCAGAGAACATTCGTTCCTAGAGTCCCAGGTCAAGTGGCAGAAAATGGCTCCTGGCCATTTTTTCAGCAGTATGCCCACACCACAGCTTTACACAATGACACTGAGAACGATGTATGCTGCAAAACCTGAGGTATAGAGGATGTTTGAATATACAAGTTCCCATTGAGAGCACTGAAGGATTTTACATGTATTTATACGTATGTATGCTCAGATACATCTATATTCATCCATAGACTGATACCTGGAGCAAGTTACCTTCAGAACGACCCCAGGATTTTACTTCAACATCACCCTAATTATTCCAAAGAGTTCAGAAAGCTATTAATGTATATACTAAGGGGAGAAACAGGAGACCAAGACCTCACAAATGAGCAAGGTATGTTATAAGACAATGTCAAAAGAGCCTGCTGAAATGCTCCCTCTGCTACAGGCTTCTTCCACAAAAATATTAGACATGTTCCACTTCACAGGTGGCAAAAAAAGGGCAAGATTAACAAAAATACGTGGCGAGATCACAGGAAGCCCTCCAGGAATTCTGGGTAAAGAACCAAACTACATAATCTGTAGGTGAAGCATCTCTTTCCTGACATTCCAGTGAGAAAGACTAAGGCAGATGTGAGAATTTCTTCTGCACACTCAATACTATTATGCAATACTTCAAACATTATGACAATGCTATGTTAGCACAGGAAGAACATAGTTAAGGTGCTTTTTTCTAATGTTTCCTTCCAACTCATAATTACATGGAATGACCAACGTATTTTGTCATTACATGTCTCAGTTATCTTCAGGAAACTGAATTCTTCCTAAATGGTTCAGATGATCCCTATTTCAACTGTGGACAAATGGCTCAAACAAAACCAAACTAAAATAACAAATGTAAACCATTTTGGACAGTTGAATAGTGTTTAATTACTTCTTGCTTTTAAGCTTTGCTAAATTTTATTTATGGGGTGTGAGGGATGCAAGAGTTTTGCTTATCTTGTTTTGGGCTAGTTTTCTTTCTGTTAGTGGAGAGGTTTTGTTGTTTTACTCATTAATAGAACTCTTACCCATCTTACTGGATCACAGAAAAATATTATGTGTGCAGTCCATCCACAAAAGCAAGCTAATCATACACCAAACGTGCAAAGATTTCTGCCATTCTATGCTATATACAAAATACTTATTTAGAAACCACACAACACTCCTTTCAGCTAAATACTAGCTTTTACCAGTTTTCACCATCACTCAGGAAAAAACCCAAAACATTTAACCAATCAAGTATTAGCTAGACTTACGGTGCAATAATGGCTCTTGCAGGTCTTTTCGTGGACTGTACTTGAGAAAGCCAACCTTCTAGCTGTGCATTCAGCTGGGGTCCTGTAAAAAGACATGGAAATACTGAAGCTATAGAAGAACCTAATACATCTCAATAGTTTACAAATAAAGTTTGAAAGCCCAGCAGATTTAAAAGTCATTGTAAGCATTAAAATCTCGGTTAAAATCTAAAAACAAATCAACAGAAAAAAACATCCCCCCAAAATACCTAATGCAACAACAAAAGAAATCCCAACTCTGTAACGTTGAAGGTTACAGTAGGAAAGTTTCAACCTCCTGGTCTGGGAAGTTCATTTACTGCACATCTAAACATAGATTTATTGTTTCTTGCTCTGTGGGGACTAATGAAGACATCACTTCACCATTTGAAAGAATGGCTGCCGATTTCAAAAGAATCACTAACAGATGATTGTTTCCTCTCATAACTATAATTTGCAGAATTCAGAAGTAAAAAGTAATAATCTTTAAAAGTTATGATCAAGAGAGTCCAATATGAGAAGATGACATAATACAAAGGCCTGATAGTTGCATGATAGCCAATAACTATGGTAATAAATCCTTTATTAAGCAGGTGCAAGAGTATAATACAAAACACTGTAACCTGGAAAATCTGTAAATGCACAGGAAAAAGCTACAAATGAGAAGGCATTATGCTTATCCTAACACCTTAACTTCTGATCAATCAACATATACTAGAAGCACATAATCACTTCAACATTAACTTCGATACCTGGCCAATCCAGAATTTAAATTTTTTAAAAATGAAGTTCTGTACCTCAACAAGTAGCAAATATTCTTAATTTAATCACTTGACAGATGATAAAAAAAGCCTTCTAGAAATACATTAAAAAAAAGACAAAAACCAAACAAGCCACATTTTGATTATTTCCCATCACAAGAAAACTTTCTGATGTTAAGCTATCATTCAGGAAGGAAGTCTGGTAAATACAGTCCAACATTCTTTCATATTAAAGAACACTAAACAAAGCTTTCAAGTAAAACTCATTCAGCTGTTATTGTAGCAAGTAACATACCATTAACAAAGAAAATAGATGCACGTTTTTTAGGTGATACTATGCTTTTGACAGCACCCTATGCCAGCAGAATTTATCTCTAAAGGATGGTGCAGCAAGCTGCTTTTCTCCTTCCATGCACATTGTAGATCTTTGTATCTTCCCCTCGCAAGAGTTGAGCTACCAACTGCCAGTGTAAGTCAAAACCAAATTAGGCATCTGAAGCCATTTCACAGATGTGTTCCAAAGAGTCCTGACAAGGGCTGACAGCTCTCCAAAAGGCTGACAAGAACCACAGAGGAGAGAAAATATGTCAATTCTTGCAGAATCCAATTAGTCCCTGACCAGGGATAGTCAAAAAGTTTTCCCTAGAAAACGCAAGGGTGAAGGTAGAGGTGTTGACGCCACTAGTTTTTATACAAAACTGAAATCCATTTGTGTTTCTTTAAAAAGGACGGCTTCTGTAGTTGTGAAAAGCCCTACCTTCTTACATGAAGGAAGTGACCAAGTGCAGCACCATTTTCCTAAGCCTTCTATTACACCTTGAAAGCCTCAGTTACTGTCAACAACCCTAACAAAGTGAAAGAGTGACATAGATTGGCTGCTATCACTCACGTAATATGAGAAATGATGAAATTGTTATAAAAGTTCCACCACATACCAATTTTGTTCTGCTGCTCTTGTTGCTTGGGGAAATTACAAGCAGCTGACACGCAATAGAGATAAGCATAACAACATCTTAGAAAATGGAGGCTATTTGGGAAGCCAAGTAAAAATAAATAGGTCTCTATTTCCACCCTCCATCTAATATGAGACTAACAAAATAGTACTCTTTTACAGTATTACCACTTTTATTTGTTACATATTTGAAATAAGAAGCAAATCATCTATTTTTTCCTAATTCTCACAAAATACATAGAAAGATAAAATACTTCCTGAATAAAGCTCTTGAAGAGGATACTTCTGTTCCCCCACCTGACCCATTCTCCTCAAAGAAGAGTATCCATAGGCAGCATAACTGCAAAAGGGACAGAATTTGTTGAGCCAAGGGGAACTCTTCCCCTGCAAGGCACTGTGCTTCTTTAACAAGGATTTTTCACTAAGAATGTGGTTAAGGCAATTTGCCCTTGGTTGACATAAATCAGATAACCTGCTGAACAGTTTAAAGACAAAGGTCAGAACATCTGGTAATATTGTAAAATTTCATGATTGGTCGAATCTGACTAAAACTTCCAATCTTACAGTGCAGTAAAATGCCCAGGTTTGCATAGCCTGCTGTTACAGATACACACTCTAACAAAATAACATTTTCATCGTAGAGGCAGTAAAATAACAAATCTGTATAAGCCAAGGGAAGAAACTTGTGTCAGTGTTTACTGAAGGACCAAGTAACACATCTGCTTTCAGATTTTTTCCCTTTAATTCCAAGTATAAGGTGCTTGTTTAAATAATTCATTTTGACCTAATGTAAACTTTCATTTCAACTTATACTCATCTGCACTATTTTAATAAAAGATGCAATCAAATTTCTCTCTCCAGACGACTAACAGAGAGAGAATGGATAGTACAACATACCTACGGCCTTTTAGCTAAAGAAAAAAATTCAAGCAGTACCCATACAAATTGACAAAAGCATAGTCTACCTGCAGCTTCCTATGCTTACAAATACTTTAAGGTGGATACTATATAACTGTAATTTTCTTGCTACCAAATTAGCATCAACTTTTTCTTGAACTGTTCAGAGAAGTTCTTCTCCCAATTTCTTAAACATGAAGATGCTTAAAAAGCTGAAGTCAAAATATTTGAATTGGTTATACAAAATATAAATAAACCCACACTATCACAGTAGCTATGCTCTGCCATATGGAATTGTATTATAGTACATGAGTAACTTCTTCATAAAGAAGTAAGTTTTGTTCGTATTTAAATGAAACTTAACTGGAAAAACAGTCATCAAGACAATCTAATGAACATGTATCTCCTTAGCTGACCAGCATGAACAGTGAGCAGCATGTATTCTCTTGCTGCTGTGGTGGGAAGTAAAATAGGTCCTGGCTTCTTAAGCCTCAGGTGGAAAGCTCATCTTCATAAAGCTGGCAGGCAGGATGAGAGCAAGAGGGGTTTTTAACCCAGCCAGAAGGGCAGAAAACCATATGGATACAATTTCAGGGTGCAACAATCAACATATTTTAGCATTAATATTGTAAGTTTAGACCATTCATTGATCAAAAGAAGGTTAAGCAGCAAAATGTGAGCTACACTGAAGTATGTAACACTAGAATGTGCATTTCAAACCTATGAAGTCAGGTATAAACACAGGTGTGTAATGAAAGATTTCTGAAATTACCTGTGGATATTTCACATCCTGTTTTGTTTTGAAAATCAGTAGAAGTTATGCCAAGGTTTAAAATAATTGCAAGCACAGACCAAGTCTCCACCAGGCAAATTTATGGAAACAACTACAGACATCATTTATTCAATTATCATGCCTAAAAGGACAACTTATTTTTTAAAAAAAATCAACATTATCCCATCACAAAACTCTAGAGTAAGTAAGAAAGAATCCTCCCACATCACTTGCATGCCATTGTTACCCAGGGAATAGTAACACAAAGACATCTGGTAGTGACTCAGCTCCAGTTCATCACCCCAATTTACAGCTGTCATGGTCCAGACTAGGTTAAGCCAAACCAGCACATTCCTTCCACAGCCAACCTCCCTTCTTCGGTGAGGCTGAAGTGCTTATATGCCAAGTGTCCACACAATGTAATGGCATTTTGCTCCTTTTCCTGCAGCCACCATTACACATACAAAACATACTTTTTCAGATTGGTAGGGAAGGCTTCGTGTTTGTGCTGAATCCTCAGTCTCACTGAATGCTTTTTTTACTGGAAGAGCATAAACCTCAATCAAAATTTAGAGCAGCACCAGGGAAAGCTGTTCAGGTGCCCCTTGCTGCACGTGTACAGCACTTGCAGCAAGGCAAGTAATGCTGGAGCACGACAATAACACTGCAGTCCCCAGCCTTGACAGCTTTTACTCGTCCAAGAACGTCTCCTACCTATAGGAGCCACCACCCTTCTTTGAGTCTACCACTTGTTAACTACCTTTTCCCATTGATGAAAAAATGTCTCCACCTTAAAAATGTGTCTAATAAATACTACAACATGTGGTAAGGAGTGAATAAGTCCTTATTCCTGTAGCGTGTTAGAAAAATCAAGTAATAGTGAAATCCTGGGGGCTGGCATATAATTAGTTTAGTAACTGGAACCTAGAGAACTCCTTCACAATTCTGGAGGTGAATCTGAAACAATTAAATTGTTAGGCAAACTCAAACCTGAAACATGACAGAGGACTAAGAGTTTAAAATTACAGAAAGTGTAACGATTTTTCAAAAAACACAGACCGCACTTGAAAAAAAAACCCAAAACTATTTCTCGATGCAACAAAAGCCAAATCCTTGAATGAAGAACAAGTTTCAGCTATGCAAAGACTAAGATTTGTCAGGAATAGAAGGTGATTTCCAACAACTCATGTTAATGGGCACATTCTCCACTGCTAGCATATACTCTCCTCAATATTGATAATATAGTGAAATCAGACTACAAGCAAGGCAGAAATTTACCTATGCAAACAAGAGCCAGGGGGGAAATTAAGATGCAAATAGAGATTACACCAATGCCACATTAATTCCTATTTATACGCATCGTAAAATGGAATTAAAACTGCAAGTAGTCCTTGAATGGGGGAAAATAAAACTGAAGCCACAACAGAAATATTAAAATTGCTTTGGTGGCAGTTCTTACTTGCATGCCCCAGTTCTCCAGTATTCCACTAGTTCTTGATTTTCCTTTACTGAAAGTTGGCAGGAATTTTAAAAAAAAAAAAAAAAACAAAACCAACAAACTGTAACACCACTCAAAGAATATCAACCAACAGGTACCTAGCTAGCTTCATAAAAAACCTTAGTACTCCGGCCATTCAGAGATCCAAACAAATGATGTTCAGTTCCATGCCTCTGAGAATGAT